GCGGGAAATAAACACGCTATATAGGGAGCATCCTGAGAAACATAAGAATCGGTAAATGGAATGCATAATACTTTCTTACAAACTGTTTCCTCTTCGCGTACTGGGTCCGCCATATGGCATACAGCTGATCCAACGAATGGCCCATACACACAAAAATGCTGATAGTGGTGAACCTTACATGTAGTTACCGGGTCAGCATGACACCCGCTACCTACAGCGGCTCCAGTCCTCGAGGTTCAGGTGTCCTATAAAGATATGACGCGGTGCAGACTAAAGCCGGCCGGTGACCTAGCTGACCTCTTTCCACTTGATTTGGTTGTAGATGGACCCAAAGTGGTAGCAGTAGCTGCAGGGGACGCAGCATCTCTCCCAAATGCAGAGTAGTCGGAAAATCAGCGAATCGGGAGGACAGAAAAGATGAAGCTGACTAGTGAAACGACAGTTGCTGGGATGTAATACGTCCACGAACTCAGCATAATTTCTGCTTTCGCATCAGACCCACTACCCTAGATTTGACCCTACCTATTAAGGAATCTGAAAACAAATTAGCAAAGTACAAACGAGGGCAAATACAAAAGAAACCAAGGCAATGTTGGTATTGAAATGAACCTGACACAAGACTAGACTTGAGAAAGACTAGACTTAGAAAACCAAGAAATAACGGTGAACAACATGACGCGATGCAGCTAATGTATAGCTAACACCAAATATGTCGGTGGCGAACAAAAGGCCGCAATATATATATACATATATATATTGTGAAAAGTATAGGAATTCAGTAGGGGGACGTGCAGAAATAGCAACATTTGCGCTTTGAACTTTATTCAATCCTGTATTGTGTTATTATAAATAAATATATACTTTTACTAAGGAGCTAAATCGTAGCTTGACAAGCAAAAATGCGTCCGAAGATAAATGTTACACACAAGGACCCAAATGGTACCGTGGTTTAGGTGCGGTGCAGTAAAAAAGGCGGAAATTGCCGGAAGAGTGAAGCTTTCGGGTCGTCAGTTCGATAAATGGCTAATGCAATAGTCGGCACTATACGTCCATTAGTAGAAGGAATGACCTTGTTTTGAGGAACTTAGCGCTCTAGGCCATGACCGCTATCACGACTTTAACGAAATGAACATCGCCAACTAACTCAGCGAAAGGCAGGAAGTCTGGATGGGTGGGGAGTCTGACAGTCGATGTCCTTGGTCGCCCGAAGGGATCGAGGTAGCTGGGAACAAGGTGGTTCTATCGACAGGTCCGGGCGGTGTACTCTTCGTCATTTTCAGCAATTGAGCAAGTATCTATAGGTTTTCTTTGCCGTCGCTCAAGTATGAAGAAAGAACGCTGCATACTCTCGGGACGATGGAAACCCTAGATTGCGCTTCTGCCTCAAAAAAGCAATGCTTCAAGCTTGGCCATTTTCCTGTATCGCACCTACTTCATTTAGTGCTCTCCTATGCTACCTTATCTATAACATTTACCGGGTCAGTATTCCCTTATAGTGTTTGCTAGTGTATTAGTTTGTGTGGTGCCTCTGTCCAGACCCATAGCTCAAGAACGTTCACCCCTTTATTGGATGTAGGATTGGTAAAAGCGTGAAACATTTTCGAACGAAGCGAAAGCGAATTTCTTCCCTATGCGGTTGGCAACCAATAAATTAGGGGATGCAATCCAGCTGTCTAGCAGCTCGTCGTGTTGGCTGCGGCCAGTAGGAAAGGCAGTTCGATGTGAAACGAGCAAACAAGCCAATTCGTTGATAGAATTGACGAACGACGGCCCTATATGCAGCGAACGAATAATCGCTCTCCTCTGTGAAACGATTTTGTGAAACCGCTGCTAGCCAATGGTACTAGAAAATGGCCAGCACGGCGATGGAACGATAAACCGTTGCGTATAAATAAATAGATAGGTAGGTAGGTTAGAAGTGCGACTAGTAATCGTTTAGATCGTTTAAATCGACCAACCAAAAAACACTGAGCGGAACAAAAGAACACAGGCACTGTTAGCCGCGGCTGCTGTCGCAAGTGCTGTAGCTATTGAATGAATTTGGCTTGCTCAAAAACCACGCGGGGACCTGCTGCATGAGCGTTAGACGAGAAACGATCGGGCTGCAGATATCTGCTGTCAGCAGCCGCACAATTCGGCTGCCAACGAAGAATCGGTTTATCAGCAACAGCAACAGCATCGTGGGTTGCACCATGCGGCCAGTGGCCCCGACGTCATCGTTACCTTCCATAGACGCCGCTAATTGGCATGACATGAGGGAAACTGAGATCTGGATCGAGAGGACTTGCCTGCTCAAGCTGGTCGGATTGGAGTATCAGGCCGGCTAGTGCAAATGAAGGGATAGCTTTGATTCGGCCAGTTGTCAGTGTAGGCAGGTGTAGTGCCATTTTCCGGCTCATTGCTCACGAATCTTATTCGCTGTATTCGCTTGGCTTGTAACAGGCTTGCTCGAAAAGGCTCGGAAGCTCGGTAGTGGATAGAAGTGCGTCTGGTGAAAGGGGTGGGTTAGAGCTGGTGGAAATAGAGGGAACACGGGAAAAATTGATACAGGAGGCTAAAGTAGTACGGGAAAGGAAACAATAAGTGCTTGGAAAACAGACGCGCGGAGTCGTGGCTACGGCGGCGACTGTCATCGCTACAACAATCATAAGATGACATTCAGCGACCCTAAACCGACCACCGGGAAACGGAGAGTGGCAGTGGTGGAAAGTGAGGAACAGACTTAGTGCACAAAGGCCAGAGTGGCTACGACCGAAGAAAACAGGGGGCAACACTTTTGACGGCTCTATGCATCGTCTGCTGCAGGCGTCGCTCGTCCAACAGAGATAAATGAATTCCGAGATAAAAACAGGTTCGCAAAAATCGCCTCATGCGCGCCTTCTATTACTGCGCTAGTCGTTAGTGCTGATTCGGTTACTAGTACGCCTGGTTTTACATACATCCGCTTGAAACAGCGATCGGTGCTGCAGCCTTTGCTGTCACTCTTGGCCTCCTCGTCTCTTGCGCACTCGTTCACGTCCTGGGACTTTCTCGCACTGGGCGTCTACCCGCTGACCAACCATTCTGCGCGTCTGCTGTTGCTATTCCTATTATCACGATCATCACCACTATTCGTGCTTGCCACGTTGCTCATCATCACAGACACGTAGTGCATAAGGGTACTGGGTATCCCACGTAGACAGTACGCCGAAGAGGAAAGACAGCAATGTTCTTCGCGTTATGCTGCTATAACTTCTACTACGTTTATCACTATTGGTCCTGCCGCTAGCGCTGCCTGTGACTGACTGCTAAATCAAATGCCGCCATGGCGATAATGGACATTTCCTTTTTCGCTTTTAATGAAATTTCTGGCCACTTCCATCGTCTTCGCCGCTTTGTAGTGGATATTGATCGCCTCGTGTAGTCAGCAGTCGTAGCTGACTTTTCTGGGTTAGGACAGACGCCAGATAAATCCGACCGACCCGTCATTGATGCGCGTCTTGGCTAGTCTTTTTCTTTCTTTCTTTTTCTTTGTACCAGTCTCTCTCAATTCGTGTGTATGTGTAGGCCTGTGCTTCCTTTTATTTGATTTCGAGTGGCTGTAGACGTATTACATTTGTATAAGCAAGATTTACACTGGAAGTGAAACTTGCAGGGGGACGTTCATCGACACTCACCGCTTTCTTTTATCCAATTATTTCGGTAACGATGAAATTTTAGTCCGGACAGCCATTGTAAACAAGGGATTCCATTACTAAGAATGCGGTATTTGTCTAAAGATGCAGAGAAAGGCAAGTCTAAGCACACTCCGGCAGGTTGAAATGAGAAAAAAAATATTCTTTTCTCGGTAATTCTGTACACGCCAGTGCCGGGGCAGAATCGATATTCTCGAGCTAAGCCATTCCGTTAATCAAATCCTCGACCTCCGCCCTTTTGGGTCTGGTACTTAGGGAGCGTTCGACGCTTTGGTATTTACCAGTTGTAGACCACGACTACCGCAACCGGAATCGTTGCCACCTCCATCATCTATAATCTTGACTCCTCTCTCAGCTTCCGATCTGGTCGACCAAACGGTGTAACGGCGGCTACAGCAAACCTTGGATTGTCACGTTCACTTCCATTTTCACCAGTGGCGTCGAAGCACCCACCTTCCTTAGCGAGGTTTTCGCGATGTCCCACAGAACAAAGAGTCTTATCTCCTTGGTCCAGGATGGTTAATAGAGACTACCCAGTTCCTTCTTCCTGGGCTTCTTCAGACAAAGTCTCTTTAGGCGACACTGGCTTTGAGGTTTAGATCACACCTTTACTTCGACTAATACCTCTACTACTGCCAGCGCCGCTCCTAGCGAACGAGGCTAGCTCGTACTATTCTAGGATAACGGTATGAATACACGCAGTCACCGGCACCCCCACAGACTCGAACACTGTCGCAATTAGCTACTCGTATTTTTTCGAAACGCCATGATCGAACGTCCGGTTAACCAGATTATAAGGTTAATGCCTCTTGTAGCAGTAGTAGACTTCGTAATTAGCTAACCAGGGGCCAGTACTAACCGGCCCTTCGGCTCCCTTTAGCGGAGAGGGAGCAGCTAATGTTGGAATATCGGTATCGCACTAATTCGATTGAAGCGAACAATGCTTACTTCCAACACCGATATATCTTCTTTGCTTCTTCTGTATATAATTCAGTCGTATCGTTTTTTTAGCTAGGCAACACGGACATCGTCAGCCGTGATCTCAGCTGCATCGGCCCTATTCATGTTTAGCGCTTTTTGGGTTTTCCTAGAGTTGTACCAGACCTTAATAAATAAGTTAGCTGGATATCTTTACTTGCCTTATACAAGTACCCACATTTAATCGCATCTTGATACCTTTTAAGAAAAATGGTCATGTGTTTAGGCACGAACAATTCAAATTGGTCCCTTCCCTAATTTCCCTGACAAATCCTTTTTGAAAAAGAAACTTGCTCTGCTTTTTAGGAATATGATCACCACTGTATTTGGGCTTATAGCGGTACTTACCGTCAGCCTCCGTTGCACCGTTGGGCCCGCAAAGGGCTTCCTGCGACACGAAACGGGCACTGACCGTGTTGCCAGCTGCTCGGGATTTCGTTCAATGGGACGAGGTAAACGTCGTCCTAAGTGCAGTATCCCTGCGTACACAAGCGAGTCGCTCCTCTCCAGTGTTTCTTTTCTGCTGATAAATTTCGTGATCTGTTTATTCAACTTCTTGTAACGTTTCTTTGCTTGGCTAGTTAGTGTTAAACCAAGATCTGCATCTACTGCCCAAGCGAGGCAGTGCGCGATTCGAGTTGTTGCAAAATTGGCTCCAACTTGATTGGATTCTCACAATTTCTTATTGACTTTTGACGAATAACCAGCGAGGTGTTCAGTTTGGCCTAATTTCTTTAACGTCATCGACTGTCTACGCCTTCTTCGCAAACGATCGTCCTCGCTCGCCCACTACTCACGACCAGCTTCTTCCGACAGTACGCTACCGCTTGCGTGCACTCGAATCGTGATTGACGTCGACGCCAATGTTCCGTTGATTCAATCAGCTGCCAGGTAGTCAATAGTGGCTTTACCTGACCATTCAATGTTGTGGTCTTTCTTTCCGTCGGTTCCTGTTTCGTACAAGAGGATACTGTCGTTCCGGCCTGAATGGTGCCTGCACGCAATCGAACTGGCGCTCCGTTAGCGCGCACTGCTACAAACGCCTGCCTTGTTCGACCCCGTTTAATTCTCTCTTCTGGTTATATGGTACCCTTGCTTGTAGCAGCAGCAGCAACACATTAAAGAAGGGAACAGAGCAGTGATCGTAATGATCTGATGATATCTTTCAGCTCACACACAGACACACACACACACACTCAAATACATTCGAGCAATGATAACGACGAATGATTTCGTCTCTGCGGATTTATATCTGGATATTTTTCTGCTGCTTCAGGTTAGATTATTTGGTATGGCCTATCACTGAGAATCGAACACCGACTGTAAAGCAGACTTGCCAGCGAGACCTAACAGTAAACTCAGCGCGCTGGCTGACTGGTAGACGACGTTCAAGAACGCACCGAATAATGTCGCCCCGGATTAGCTCCGAGTTCAGCTTGTTATTGATTTTGTTTCATCTACCAGTTTAGCTATTTAGGGACTTTCAGATAGTTCCTGCTCAATGAATCAAGTTCGGATACACTGCGATTCCTGCAGACGATTCGACGTTGCTAGCAACGGCTGAACGGATGAGACGTGACTGACTGAGCAGGAATAACGTAACGTATTAGAAATAACGTAAGTCAACACCGATGTACAATCAACGATAAATCTGACCAAAATCGAGTTGAATTGCAGATACTAACAGATTACACGTAGTTGCAACTGTAATTGGGCGACGACGGCTAGCTTATTGTCCTGGCCGTCGCCATAGTCTGTGGGTCGGCTTGCTGCTGCTGCTCGAATCTGCGCTGTTTGGTTCTCGCTAGATGTTCGTGTACGATGTTCCGAGTGGAGAGGAGGGCAGCACCGCATACTATACAGGGATCACACACTCAGGAGCGTTGCTTAGCAACCCGCCAAATCCGCACCCGGGTCTCGCTCCTCCAACCGCCACTAGCCGGCGCCACCTATACTTTGTCGGCCATCGCCTATTGCTTATCGTTTAAGGACTTCTCAGTCGCTCTCTCGCGCCACTGTCGTAGGAGAACAAAGTGTCAGAGGATAAAGAGAATAAACTTCCACGAGAAGACGAAGAAAAAAGGACGAAGAAGAGATCTCACACCGAAACTTCGTTTTGTTTGCTATCTTGTTCCGTTAACGAAGCAGATGACACGAATAGGAACCACAGCGATAATGATAAACCTAAGAACTTGCACACTTCAAGCCACATCCTCAATTTAGTTATTCACTTCATGGACATTCACTTGTTGTTTGCTACCCCTTTTTCCCTCTTTGTCCCTTTTTTCTTTCTCCTCTTTCTTCGTTGTCTTCCTTTCAACTTCGTAATCTTCACTTTGTCGTACGATGCAATGCCACCATCGCAACATCCATGTTCGCACTGCTGGCGCGCCAAACGGCGCTCACCTGGCCACTTCACAACTACATATGCATATGTATGTGTATAAATTGATATAGAACAAGACAGAGGTATACATCTATGAAGTAACTGATAACTGCACAACACTACAGAACGAATGCCCTGTTCAGGCAATCGCTGTTCGGATCACCGCGACATTTGCGCCGTCCTATCCCACCACACGCATGCGGGTCAGGACACCAACTCCTGCGACCGTAGGCCTAGTCTAGGCTTTTACTGGAACTTTTAAGGAGAGGGGAAATGGAAAGGGCAGCTAATGGAGAAAGGGAATCCGTCCACGAGGATGAAGACGACGCTCGGACCTTGGCTCGGCTGGTCGCCCCGTGGCTACTCACCGTCGTCGTCCACGATGAACGCCTTTAACCTCTGCTTCTGGCTGGATAAGGAATGAAGCGGCTGCCGTAGATAAACAACTAAAAAATTGTATGAACGAGATCCAGACCCAGACAGGTTAAGGCAGGCATGCACACACCTACGGGATGAGGTAAGTAAGGCGCAGAAGGAGAAGCAAAGCGAATAGATGGCTTTTGGTTCTTTATCAACACTTAACTTAGTGTGGTTGATAATCTCCGCCTCAGGAATTTGTTCGACGCCATCGCTGAAGCCGCGAGATGCACGCGGTTAGTTTCGAAGTAACTCAAATTCACTGAGGTTGATGATTGAATTGAATAGATCCGCCATCACATGCTATTTTTTAGCAGGCTTTGCCGTGGATCGATGGCCGGAAAAGCGTAGGTATCTGTACCCTTTAGTTCCGATAATAAACCAGCACTTGGAACGGTAATAGAACTCAGTATTACGAATGGTGCTAGCATAATCACTTACAATGGTACAGTCGACCAAATACTATGTTAACGAATTCTATATCCGCCCACGAGCTTCCATATGATATGCACACTATAAACACACAGTAAGCTTAGTAAAAGAGATAGAAAAATAGCATCTTGTCTAACTGTAGTATATATCCTCTTCGTAAAGCACGACAAGAATTCACGGCGCCTACTGTTAACGAAGCTGGAAATAGAAGCGTCGTGTGCCACTTATCGCGTAATGAGTTCTTGTTTGTGCACTACCGTGAGTCTGTCTGTCGGTCTGTCTGTGCCTGTTGGCTTAATGCTGAAAATGACGCACGCCTTAGGTAGGGTGCATCCCGAGGCGCCTACAGCATTCTGGGACATGAAAGACGGGGGCGCCCAGAAGTTCTTCTCAGGAGGACAAAAAGCTGGTGCTCCCCTGTGGGTACATTTTTCTCACTGTATCCAGGCCCAATACTCCCGACTGGTGAACCGGTGAAGCTGCTTGAGCAGGACATTATTTGCCGCCATTCGTGTTCACTGTCTCGCGCGTTCCCTTTCTAGAACACACTCACTTCCACCACCTATCAAGTAACGCAGGGCTGGACACAGTAGCAGTCATTGATCACGGTCCAATTTGTCGACTATACGTGTCCACAGACGGCAACGTACTTAAAGTGAGAGACGATAGATATGAGGTATATATGAAATATATAAATGTTTAGCAATATCTAGCGTTAAGTGGCTCGTATATGTACACATGCACAAAACAGGGGGTCCGTTTCCATAAATAAAAGACAACAGCTTCACACTCCGCAATGAACTATGTGAGCTATGCAGGAGTATCTTCAACAAGACTGAAAGCTAGGACAATAACGCTGTAATTATTTTTATGATGTTTTACAAGATTGTGTCTTGGTCAATGTTTCTGTATAAAAAAAAAGAAAGCTACGCTGAATGTCTTTCGGATGTTGACGTGACAGAAAATAATGATTTGATGTCCTTACGATGCGACGGATAGCTTATGTCAGTGTCCCAATAAAAGAATCCCAAGTGATCCATCAAAAGTTCGTCGGTCCGGAGCTTTCGGTGTCAGGACTGAACGACAAAGAATAAAGGATTATCAAGCTTTGCGTCGTCGACCACTGAGCGTGAACCACTGCTCACGGTACGAGGGTACAGATCTCAAGGGCTATATTACGCCTATAGTCGTTTTTTTTTCGACCGTTTTCCCACAAGGACAAACATGGTAATCGTAACTTTTGCTATATCTAAACGAACGGGCAACTAAAAAAATGCCCAACAAATAATTCACTCTGATTTCCTCGGCACAGTAAAATTTATTTATTCTCTCAGACTAAGAAGCGCCATTGATGCGCATTCCGTTTCATACAAATGCACTACTTAGGATTTCGACATACGCATAGATGTCAGAAGCACCAAAGATTCGGCTATGTAAGTTCAGCTCGGCGATTGCGGTGACCCTGGTCGTCCGTCTCGCCAAAGCGGCAACTGGGAGAACGGAACGTTAGCTGGCCATCTGCTCATAAAGTTGACTTCCCGAAATGAAAAATCCAGCTGACTTATCTCCGTCAGTCGAGAAACAACCACGGTTACGTACTTCCCCGGAGAAAGTAAGTCTTTGGTCCGGAAAGTAACGTAGCAAAATGTTAGTGAGAACTAACTTTCTTGCAAAACGTATACGACGAAAAACGATTTCACCTCGTTTTCTCACTTTTATTGAGAACAGCTTTACATATCGCTGGCAAATAGATGCACACTTGTGTGGATCCGCGACCGTTGGTGTTGATTTCGTAAGCGCTAAGAAAGGAGCGTTTTGCAGTTATTTTCCAGTCAACTCCAGATAAGGTGTACATGATTTTTCTGTGTTTAATGAATGTCGAATGTTTAAACTATGATTGTACATTAGCTGAGAAACGAGACGCGCTACTGTATCATGATAGAAGGCGATTTTGCAGCGATACCCTGGACGGAGGGCCTACGTAACGTTTGGAAGCCTACGACCGTTTACCACGCCAAGCGTTGCAAGTTTTGATTTTGAGAGCAAACTGGATGGAAAAGGTCGGCATAACAGTGGGTGTCTTATCAACGTGTGGCACGTTTAACGTAGCACCCATTCAGCGCAAACAGACTGGCTGGCTGGCTGGCTTCATGTAGCCTTATATTACGACACACATTATGTAGAATACGACATGTGGGCTTTTCAACGATTATAATAATAACACGATACTATAGTGATATTATACAATGAACACTCATTTTTGCAGTGAGACGGGATGTTCGTTAGCATTGATGAAAATAACAAAAAAAATTCGTTATCAACGAAGACTACGTCGTATCAGTTATTGACTGTGACGAATTTCTCGTCTCAACTAGATAGCAGTACTATTGTATAATATACGAGCATTATAAGCGAAAGCTCGTTATTTAATTCTTGCAATGGGTCTTCCTCAATGTTATATTATTTTTTTTCGTACGCAGTCACTTTATCACAGTGTCGGTTTTATCGTGCCTGTTTAAAGTACGGGTGCGCAAATTTAAAAATAGTATAGTTTCAACGAGCATTACTTTTATTATCGCAAGCTGCCATTCTCATAATTACACCAAAAGACATGGCACAACATGCACACGACAAAAAAAAAAAGAGCGATCCAAGCGTCGATTGAAGGTTGCTACTGGTAGATGAAAATTACTGTCGACGTCGTACCGTGCTGATGATATCTTATCCGATTATCTGGTATCTTTTCAGAAAATAGATAGAGTGAGTAGAATGATCATAGGATAAAGGCCATTTTTCTTCGCCGGACTAACAATCTTAAGCCATAAACAACTCCGTTGTACACTTAGTCAAAAAAAAAAAAAAACGTATTTGAAGATGATTAGGAAGCGGTTAGAACAAATTATATACTTCGTTCGAGACGTGTCGCGGGCGTTTTCAGGTTTATCAGGCGTCCTGCACAGCATGACATATAGCACCATTCAGGATGATAGATATGTCAACTCCTTACTCAAAAAAACTAGTCTAATGTTTTTGGGCTCAAGCCTGTACACGATAAGGCTTCGGAAAGCGTCTTTCAGCTGCTATCAGTGTTTGCTATACAATTTTTATCATTCACTATTCTTTCTAGATTGGACCATACGCGTCCGTGCAAGTTAGTCTAAATTTGGGAGATAAAACACTGTTTCTGTAACGCTGGAAAGTACGAACATTTTCATCGAAGAATGATAATGCAGAACGTTCCACAACTAATTCCAAATCTCGTTTATCACCTCGCGTAAACGGTGAGCTAATCTCTAAGAAATGGCTATTCGACAATGAACGTCTAACGGTTCCGCTCTTAGCACAGTTACTATTATCTACTACTATCTTTTTACAACCATAATAGTATTGTGTGCCGAGATAATTTACTCGCGTCAATTCCGCATTGCGACGTTCGCATGCGATCGGACTACTCACCGCTAACTCATCGATAAAATTGTAAAGATCGTAAGTGTTCCGTTCGCTAACATCGGCCTGTGCATTTGGCAAAAAAAGATGTATCTTTTCATTAGAAGACGACGACTATCATATCTAATAGATTTTGCCCTACTAGCCGTTCACGGAGGTACACACGTCTGCAGGTTATGAGTTGGGCCGTCGACGTCATTAACGAATTTCTGTGTACCCTAATATCGTCCAACCCTTTTATAGTCTATGTTATTACAACTGTATTCTGTTGAAACTGCGCCTAAAGTCAAGCATGCTTATAGACTGTTCTTCTACAGATTCTTCGTGACGATGTACAAACCAGCCGTAATGATTTGATCGAAGGTAGCAGATTTTTTACTTCGGTGCATTGCTTTGTTCGAAACTGGCTCTAAATAATGAAAAAATCCGCAAAGAATAAACGATAAAATAGATTAGTTTTACTTTTTATTTATATATTAAATATAAATAATTTTTATTTACAATTCGTCGGGAAACGCGATAAAAACATTAGGCTGGATATCGTAACATGATGAATGTTACTTTTGCAAATGTTACCTATGCGATTTAACTTATCTCCTTAGCAAAACGAACATCCATTCAGCGGTAGATAATTCTCAAACCTAGACGTTCTGAAACTCTATCAGATAAAGTCCCTTAAGAACTGCGACTACATCCCTGCGATAACATAACGTTTAGATATTTCTTTCACACTTCTGAAATCGTATCATTTAAGAAATTCCATGGTACCGTAAGCAAGGAAACGCTTGTAGGTAACGTCTGAATATGTATTCATCATGTTACTACATTCAGTATTTCCAGAAAAATTGTAGGCTCCTCTCACGACCTCCTTACT